TTATTATTTTTTTATGTAAAACATTGTTATATTTTACCATTTTGGGAGGGGCTTCAGCCCGAAAGTCCTCCTCCCCCCCGTTGACCCACCTGTGCAATGATACACCGATTTTAATCAAAATCGTTAGAGCCGTTTTTGAGAAAATTGTAAACATGTGTATAACCGTTGATATAAAGTGTCACTTCAGGTTTACCGATTTTAAGGAAAAAGTTTCTATAACATCCCAGACATATACCTATTTTAAATACTAATCAGTTTCGTACGACTTTTCGTTTTTGAGCCAGACTACTCACATACACATACATAGACCATTTTGCGAGACTTGGTCATTTGGACTCAGGAAATCTCAAAACGTGTATTTCCGTTGAAAGCTCAGATTAAAAAATTTTAAGGCTCCAGCATTTCCTTCCCTACTTTATAGAATGCCTTGGTAAACACTGTTGCCTAACTTACTATCGCCTAAAAACGCACACAGTTTAGCATATGCCATCAGATCTTAGTCTTATCAATCAGTAGATTTCATCAGGTTATTTATTAAAATTATGTTATTTTAATAAGAACAATGTAATATTTTAATATATTAAATTATATACGTGTTATGCATAATGCATGTATCATGTAAAAATTAACATACAAATTAATAATACACGGCCTTCGTACAGAATTACTGGATGAGAGGAGGAGAAAAAAAAGAAAGGAAAAAAACCTTACAAAAAATTAATTTGCTTAAATATAACAAAAAAAGCAATTCAAAGGGAAAAGAATAAAACCAATATCAAATTAATTAATAAAACCTTATAAAAGCATTAACATTCATTATTGAAACAATTTATTAAGAAAATAAAAACTAAAGAAAAATGAATTACATTGATCAACATAAAAAAAGAGGAATTATATCAAAGTTAAATTAATAATGAGTGACAATTATAAACAAATTAACTCGTTCATTATAAAACAAATAAAAACTTATTACTCGGCAGAAAAAATAAAAAAATTAATTGCTCCATTATCGCTCAGATATTTTGTTTAAAAACAGTGTCGTTTTGATGTTTTACCTAATTAGGTTGCTTTTCTTGTAAACAATGTTAATTTCTTTTTTGTTTATATCCATCTGTTTAAAATATAGGTTTTCGATGGCCGAATTTTAATATCGATATTACCATATATCCAAATAAAACCATGGGGCTAAAATATCCTTTGTATAGGCGTGCGGTGTTTATTTTTATTTTGGAAGGATGGGTATGAACAGCATCTGAATATGTTTTGGATCATGTCATTAAAAACTTTTTTAATGCTAAATATTAAAAACCGGTGAAGCGTCTGAGAGAGAAGCGCTGGGATCTCTTAGATTCTCGCTTGTCCTTGACACCTTGAGGAAAGAGATGGACTCGGAACTCCCTTGGCTTATTATAAATATTGTAATTAAGTATGAATGTTTTTCTTTTTAATCTATTTTTTTTATTTCTTTATTATAATTTATTTAATTTGTTACGAATTTACGTATTTTATTTAATTCTTACTTCAAATTATATTTCTTTGGTTTTATAGTTTTTGCCTTTGTTATATGGATATATATTTAATTTTTTTATTGTATTGTATGTAGGGTATGAGAATGTGCCTCACTCAACTTTACTACTCAGTGCCCTTAGTGTGACAAAATGTATTATTTCTCTATAAAAAGATCTTTAAAAAAAAAAAATGCTAAATATAGTCGGAATCTTTAACTACATTTTCAAAAAACGTTGACAAATCAACTTCCTTATAAGTTTTTATGAGTATAGTTTTACGTTTTTATCAGATTTTTTTTTTTATTATATTTTATACACTACGAGTTAAGTTGAGAGACACATGCCCTTGTGATAAACACCATACCCCGATATGTAGTTTGAAAATCTTAATGGGAAATATTATTACATCCCTACCCAATTAATCATAACTTAATTAGTAAACATTTTTCTAAACATATTAAATGATTAAATTCGAGTAATTAAATTAAATTAATGATGATCACTTAGTTTAACTTTTTCAGATTTTAATGAAATTATTATGATTGAATAATTTTGGAACTTTGTGTCATTTTCTCAAAGTTTCTTCTTTCATTATCGTAAATTATAGAGTAAATATTACATACGAAATAATAATATTATTCGAATAAAAAGATATATTATCAATTTCAAATCAAATATAATATATATATATATATATATATATATATTACATATATATATATATATATATATATATATATATATATATATATATATATATATATATATATAATGTATATATATACATATACATATATATTTATTTAATTATATATAAATAATCGTAGACAATAATTATAGTGATATATGAACACATTTACGCCATATATACAGAAAATATAAAATTAAAAAAATTAAAAAAAAACAAAAACAATTATGTACAATCTATATATATATAAAAATGAATGTATGTCTGTATGTCTTTCGTGCATTACTAAACCATTCATACCGATCGCCATGAAACTTACGGAGTTGTTCCGTACGTACACTCCTGAGAAGGTTTCTGGCATAGTATCTCCTGTCTTACGATAATTCCATATATGTAAAAAAATGAAAATGTAAAAAGTTTTTTATGTTCAAGGCCGCAAAAAAATGTGTCGCTATAAACTGTAGCGCCAAAACGGCTTTACCGATTTTAACGAAACTTGGCTAAAGTCTTTCCCTTGAAACCCTTTTAATTTATGTGTATAACATACTTTCCCGAAAACAAGCTGAAAAATGTTACGATTAATTCAATATTTTATTGACAATAACTAAAAAATGTACAGAATTTCGATGATAATACCCGCATTTATTTGACAGATTCCTGATTTTCCGACAAAATGAAAAATAATGGCATCGGAATAGATAAGCATTATCTCCGAAATAAAACTATTTCTAGCCGCCGTAGGATTAAAGTGGGTTAAATTATTTTTTCTATGAAAAACAAAGTTGAGATTAGTATTTCGCATCTCAATAAACCCTCAAATACCAATTTCCACTGGAATCGAAAAATAATTTTTTTTTGGCTCAAATTTTCGTCTAGGGTGGGACCTCAATTTTATTTCTGAAAACTACAAACAGTGTGATAAGTACAGAATTTTCGACTGATAATACGCACAATTTATTTGAAGGATTAATGATTTCCTGAAGTTATAGAATTTTAAACATTTACTGCTTTCTCCTCGGAAAAGGCCATTTCCTTTTGCTTCCTCAGTACCGAAGGTATTGAAATTATCATTTGAAGAAGTTATATGATTCTCCTTATAGGTCAATACTATTATACGTTCTTTATATAATATTTTATTTAGTTTTTTAATTTAGTTTAGTTTTTTTAATTTTTTATATTTTAGTTTAGACTGTTTCTGATGATTATAAATGTCTGCGTATTCACTCAGATGATTATAAATGTTCAATTTGAAATCATGAGAAAAAAAACATTAGAATTTGTTTAAATTGGAGCCATTTTACTGACAAATTTGTTTCCCAACTTTTTAAAAATGACAGATGTCCTTTGCTATTAATCTACTCATATGTGCTTTACTATTTTCTTTCTTTTTATATTGCCACAGGAGCGCGTGGCGGGTAAAGCTAGTAAAAAATAAAATGACCTAAAGATAAGTAAATTAAAAACATAAAAATACAGTCATATAATTCTTAATGTCATTTAATATATATGTATATATTGATATAATAAAATAAAAAAATGTAAAATATATATATATATTATATTTAATATATATATTTATATATATATATATATATATATAGTATAAACATATATATATATATAAATATTAATTTATTAGTTATTTAACATATAAAACACAGTAAACATAGTAATTTCATTTGTTTATTATGGTTCAAACCATGATTTTTTAAATGGATTTTTACGACAAAATTTAAACCTTGAATTAAAAATTTTATAATGATCTAATTTTATATAATTGTGAGAATAAAAATAAATTAGTGGGACCTTAAAATGTTATGTAATTTTTTGAGATGGCATAGGGATATACAGTAACTTATGTTACCATGAAAAATAATGGACCATGACTTTTTTCTGAATAAAGGACACAAAGCTAAAAAGTTTGAACATATAAAGTGTAATAATTTCACTGACCTAATATAGACAACTCTCTCAAAAAAAAAAAAAATAATAAAAAAAATAAATCGTAAAATAAAAATAAGAAGTCCTTTGAAAATAAAAATTGAAACTTCTAAAAATAAATTACATAGGTAATCAAAGAAGAAACTTTTAACATAACAATTTCAATCAAGATGTTAGAGAAAGAGTTACATCGATTTTAGATTTAAAAAATAGAATTGTTTCCTTCAGATCCATATCCAATTTTCGAAATATTTTACCAACTTTAAATGTCAAAGTTGTCGAATATTCTTAATAGTCCGTGGTAAAGACCACTTTTTATCAAATTATTAATTAATATGAGCTGATAATTTCGTGAAGGGTTTCATTTTGTCCAGAAATGGTGCGTTTTATCGTGATAATTTGATCGAAATAGATTTAAAAAAGTGTCCTATAAAAAAATTTGGGCTATACAACCTCGTTATTTTGGCATGTTGGTGGTGGATGTCACGCCTAGCGGCACAATATTTTTGTAGGCCACGCTTTTTCATGATTTTGTGAACAAATTATGTTACTATTCTAGTGGAAAGCCAATGGGTGTTCATTAGTTTTTAGTACCTAATTATATAGACAAAATTTGCCTATTTCCAGATTTAATACGCCACAATTTCGAGAATTTTCCAGTTGTATGTTACGATAAGTTGAAGCCATTTACGAAATTTTAGAAGGATGTTAATAATTTGCTAAATAGGGGTCTGTACCAAGGACTATAGATTTTGTTATTCTGGTCTCAATCGATCAAAATAAGTATTTTTATTAATAAAATAATTTTGCAATTTATAGTTAGTACAGTAGTAAAATAAGAAAATTAAGCTTCGATCTGATACCTTGCTTTGCCTAAGACCTCCAAGTTTGGTTGTCGCGAAGGTACTGACTCGGCAATGCTTGACACAGGTGGATTTACCCACTCCATCCCCTCTCCATAGCTAAAATTATATACATTTTTTGTAGTTTTTTTTTTTTTGCTCTCTCTTTTTTCTGAAGAATGACTCTTATTTTACAATATACGCTAGCTTTGATGTCATAAAGATGTAAAACTCAGGGACATGTTATACCATGAATAGTTTTGGGATTTAGAATTAGGAAAACAATTAACCATGAGACATCCTTGGAAGAGTCAAGGAATAGATATAAAATGGAAATGTTGTAGCACGTGCAGTATTCGCCAATGTTCCCAGCAAAAAAGTATTTTCATTTTATTAATTTATGTTATTGTCAACTGAAGAAGTGCATGGTTTTTAACATTTTAAGTCCTTTTTTAGTAATTCAAATTTCAAGTCTAGTATTTTAAAATTAGAATTGGCTAAGGTTTCCCTTGGCTATGATTTCTTAAAAGAAAATCGTAATAATAAAAAGATTTAATAAAATTCTATTTACAATGTTTTTACTTCTTTACTTCTATTTAGGAAAGAATTAACGATTTTACATTGTATGGATATATATATATATATATATATATATATATATATATATATAATCATTTGATTTGAAAGTTAATTAAGTTCTCTCCAATAAAAAATCATAATATTTATAATAAAAAATTGCCTGCCGTTAGTTCCAATGGAGCCCTAGACGCCGAGCAAAAAATATTTTTGCCTTTGCTTTCCCGAATTTCTAATTAATACTATATCAATCGTTTTTGTGTGCAGAATAAGAAAAAAATATTGACTATTGTATTAAAGGTATTACAATGGCGCTTCTATTGAAATAGGCCAAGAAAGTTTCTGAGATGTGTCAATCTATATCTTCAATAAAACACGTAATCGTTTGGTTTTAAACGTTGCCTAGAGATACAATTTGGAATAATAGCTCATTACAGAGAGCATGAAATGCTGAACATATCCCTCACTTACAGTATGCAGATCATATTTTTAATTTTTCAGTTATTTTAATCTATATATAAAACTCGTTATAATTTGGTTTTCGAAACTATTTTCCCTTTTCGCATCCCTAACACGACTTCGCGTTAAGATACTATTTTGAATAATAGCTCGTTGCAAAGAAAATGAAATGCTGAACAATTCCCTCGCCTACAGTTTGCAGGTCCGATTTTAAGTTTCTGAGATCTTTTAATCCATATGCAAAAACACTTCAATTGGTCCACCCCAACTGACTTTACCCGAGCGTTTCACATCGGAGATCTGACGGCACAATCTAATTCACTCTCCACAAAAGTGCAAAACACACCAATAAAAGTTTTCAACTTTAAAATATATATATATATATGAGACTCATCACTAGCGGATCAAGAATTTCATTTTGGAGGGAGGAGGGGCTTTAGCCCGGAAGTTTTTTGTCATCTCTCTCTCTTTCTATCTATATATATAGAGATATTCCATCCCACTAAAAATCCGCCATGCATCATCCTTATCCACCTTTAAAACCCTCTTATTCCAATTCCTCTTCACAATCCAATCAGACGCTGGTTAAATACATACTATGTTATTAGGATTTAATTTTATTTAGAAATTATTTTTTTTCTCTTATTTTTTATTGTTTTATTCTGTGTTGAACGTGAATTTTCATCACCACTCACTAAGCATTGTGAGTAGGTACAATTTGTTTTCCTTAAGTTCTAATTTGTCATTCATGAAATGTATTTCAGTGAAATGTATTTTATTTCTAATTATCTTCAACATACTTCTCGCTATATGTATATGTATACTTTATTTTATTTTCTCTTCTCCTAATCTTTACGCATAATCACTTAAATATCTTACGGAACATATGTATATCATTATTTGTTTTTTTATATATTTTTTTTGTTTTAGTTTTTACAATTTCTTTCCCTACATATTAACAGTTATTATTATTTTTTTAGTTTTTATATTCCATCACTACAATGCTTACCTATAAAATAGATTTTACTTTCCTTTCTAATTTCATTCAGTGATTATTATGCAATTATTTTAGCTCCAATATTGTAGTACTGAACCCCTATTACCCAACTGTCCTCGTTAATTTATCCCAAGAGCTTAATTAATACTTAATGTATTACATGTATTTTGTTATTATTCATTGTAATAAGTCTTTTGACCAGATTTATAGTTAGTATATATAAACAATACTGTTATTCTAAAGGGACCTAGTCCCAGAATAAAGATGATTTTTCTATTTTCTATTTCTATTTTTATATTACATATATATAACGATTATTACTTTGGAAGAATAAGAAAGATCATAACTAACCGTATGAAATGGTGTTTGATTCTTGAGGTCCTATGTATGCATCTTGAGGTCCTATGCATTGAATTAAATGCAATTACACGAACAATAGTACTTTCAGAGATATTTTTTTCAAAAGAAATGGTTATATTTTACCGTTTTGAAAGGGGCTTCAGCCTGTGACTCTCATAATGTGGTACCTTCATTGACCTTTCCGAGGCACTGAAGGTAAGGGACATCAACATAAATAAACGGCTCTCTCACAATGAGAGACAAGGAAAAAAAAAGAAGAGAAAAGAAAACTGTTATGATGTTCAGAATTGGGCCAGGGCTGCTGTATGGTTACTCAAGGGTGAGAATTTCTTTCTCATTTATGCATCTGATGACCAAATTAATGTAACATAATTCTCAAAAATTGTAGAGATACAATAATCTGAAGTTATCTCTTATCTTTTTATTCATAATTACAGGTTGTAAAATAAAAAATCATATAATTGAATGGTAAACTTCTTTTATCTAGCGTTCCTGAACAGAGAAATTGTGTGGAAAAATTTCCGACTTTTCATTCGCTTTTTCACTTTAATCTTGTTAACGAGTGAACGAATTTTGATACTTCAAATTATTTTCCGATTGTTTAGAGACAGCCAAAAAAAGAAGAATGGTGTCAATAATTTTCCGACTTTTAATTAGTCTTTTCTTTTTTTTTCTTCTGGTAAATGGATGATTGGCTTTCTTTGTCCAACTATTTTCGGGCTATTTAGAGGCAGACTAAAAGGAATAATATTGTAAAACTTTTCGGAATTTTTATTCGCTTTTCCTTTTTTATCTCGTGAACGGGTAAACGGTGAAATCTACACTCTCGTTCACGAAATATAAGATGATAAGAATGAAAAATTAGAAATCTTTTGTGTGCTCAAGTGATCAAAATTTGCATACGTTGTACAATTATTTCTTATAGGCTAAAGCAATTTTCCGACTGCTAAGAGCTAGGCTAAAACAGTGATGGACAAATGCTACTCTGAGAACTGAGCACTACGTATTGTACTCAAATACTGACCTTTTTTGAGTACCAAAGAATTTAATTACAACGTCAGCTGATGTCAAACGATTAACTGAAGTAGTGATTGAATTCCCAATAGTGATTCAATTTGAGTAAAATACTAGATACTCGGTACTCACATTAGCATTTGCCCATCTCTGGATAAAAGGAAAAAAATGTTAAAGCTTTCCTATTTTTCATTCCCTATTTGATAAACGGGTGAAATCCACACTTCCACTTATTAAATATAAGAGGAAAATTGAATTAAAAGTGGGAAAAGTTTTGTGAGCGGAAGTGATAAAAATTTCGTTCATTGTACAATTGTTCATCGCGAATTGTTCATGGAGAAATTTTCCAACTGTTTAGAGTTAGATTAAAAGGAAAAAATTGTTGAACCATCCCTATTTTTCATTTAAGAGGAAAAGCAAACGAAAAGTTATATGTGCGGAAGTGATCGAAAATTTCGTACATTATACGATTGTTCATCACTTCAGAAATTTTCCTGTTTAGAGTTAGGCTAAAACGAAGAAATTGTTAAACCTTTTCGATTTTTCATTCCCTCGTCTTCGTCTATTTTATTCGTATATTATCGTTGAACGGTGAAATCCATACTTCCGTACACGAAACATAAGGGGAAAAGCGAATGAAAAGTCAGAAAATGTTTGAGTGTGGAAGAGATCGAAATCTTCTTGTGCATAAAAGAATTAGGAATAAGAATATGTATATTTTTTACAAAATACGAATGTTAATTATTTTGTTTATAAAAAAGTGTTAAAAAAGAAAACAAATTGTTATTAAAATCAAAAATTTCCATTAACATTTTACGTTTTAAACTTAAGGAAATAAATTTCCTTCTATGTCCGTCTGTAATCAAATACATGTATCAAATACCTGCAAACTGTAGGCGAGGGAATTGTTCAGCATTTCATCTTCTTTGCAACGAGCTATTATTCAAAATAGTATCTTAACGCTAAGTCGTGTTAGGGATGCGAAAAGTTTTATATATAGATTAAAATAACTGAAAAATTAAAAATATGATCTGCATACTGTAAGTGAGGGATATGTTCAGCATTTCATGCTCTCTGTAATATATATATATATATATTTTAAAGTTGAAAACTTTTATTGGTGTGTTTTGCACTTTTGTGGAGAGTGAATTAGATTGTGCCGTCAGATCTCCGATGTGAAACGCTCGGGTAAAGTCAGTTGGGGTGGACCAATTGAAGTGTTTTTGCATATGGATTAAAAGATCTCAGAAACTAAAAATCGGACCTGCAAACTGTAGGCGAGGTAATTGTTCAGCATTTCATCTTCTTTGAAACGAGCTATTATTCAAAATAGTATCTTAACGCGAAGTCGTGTTAGGGATGTGAAAAGGGAAAATAGTTTCGGAAACCAAATTATAACGAGTTTTATATATAGATTAAAATAACTGAAAAATTAAAAATATGATCTGCATACTGTAAGTGAGGGATATGTTCAGCATTTCATGCTCTCTGTAATGAGCTATTATTCCAAACTGTATCTCTAGGCAACGTTTAAAACCAAACGATTACGTGTTTTATTGAAGATATAGATTGACACATCTCAGAAACTTTCTTGGCCTATTTCAATAGAAGCGCCATTGTAATACCTTTAATACAATAGTCAATATTTTTTTCTTATTCTGCACACAAAAACGATTGATATATAGTAATCTAGAAA